TTATAAGTTTTTGAGATAAGATTTACATACTGTGAAATGCATGCTTTTTTATTGTACAGTTCAGTAGTTTCAACAAATTCATAAACATCTATCGCTGATATCTTTATCACATTATAAATCATTTCCATCATTTCAGAAAGTTTCCTCATGCTCCTTCCCAATAAACTTCCACATGCTCTCTTCCTCCCCTCCAATACACAGGGGGGTGTGGAAATCACTGTTCTGAATTTTTTCACTGTAGTTTAGGGTTGTCTTTTCCAGAACTTTATATACAAGAAATTATACAGTATGTACTTTTTTTGGTTTGGCTTCTTTCATCCAACTTAATGTTTGTGAGATCTATCCATGTTGTTGCCTATATGAGTGAAATTTGTTGATTCATTATCCTGTTGATAGACAACTGAGTGATTTCCTGTTTGGTGCTAACATAAGTAATGCTCCTATGAACATTCTTATGCATCATTTTATGAACTTATATTTGCATTTCTTTAGGTAAATACGAGTAATATTGTCATGTCATGGGGTAGGTCTATGTTTATGAAAAATAGCCAGACTTTTAAAAAAACCTTTTTACACTATCAAGAGCAAAATATGACAAACATTTAGTGTTATCAGGTGGGGTTTTTTTTTAGCCACTTTGTGAATGTGTAGTGGTATATAATACATTTAATTTGCATTTCCTTGATAAATTATAATGTTAAGTATCCTTTTGTGTGTTGATTATTTATTTCTATACTTTTGTGAAGTGTCTGTTAAGTCTTTTGCCCCTTTTATTGGATTGATTTTCTTATTATTGAGATGTAGGAGTTTTTTATGTATCCCGAATACCAATCACTTGTCAGATACATGCTTTGCAAATATTTTCTCACATCATTTACAAAAGCCAAGATGTGGAAGCAATCTAAGTACCCATCAAGAGAGGACTGGATAAGTGACATCAGAAGCATGGCAGAATGAGGGGTTCCCTTGATATCTCCCCTCGAGAATAGAACAAGTTGAACAGCTATAATCCAAGAGAAAATTTCCAGCCTAATACTTCTGAGAGATTTGTGCATCAAAGTATCTGAAAGGTGTGAGAATCTGATGAGCAAAGGAGGAGGAAAGGGAGTGGAGATGGGTGGTGGATGCAACTGGGAGCTCCCTGTGGCATTTAAGAAGAGGGGAGGAATTGGGATGCAGTGTGCCCTCTGTGCAGTCCCAAGCATTCCTGAATATAGAACAGAAAGAGGAAGAAGTACAATGAGAGGAAGGAGTGAGGACAGATGGAGGAGAGAAGGGTTAGAGAAAGGAGGAAAAGAGCTAAGAAAGAGGACAAATAAAGATTTCATTTGATTTCAAAAAAAGGCATAGATGATGGAGGCTCTGTTCATCCCTCTGTTGACCAAATCAAAGTTGTGACAGAAACAAGGAGCAGCAGCAAGAAAAAAATCACCTGGGATCTAGATGAACAAGTCATACAGCTAGGGAGAAATCGGAGAAATCTAAGAAATCACCCTGCAACGGCAGAAGGTAGGACGAGGAAATGATGCGGCGCTGCTTGGTCTCGAGCGACTGAGTGAGACAAAGGCAGGGGCAACTGCAGACGCCTCTTAAAGGGGTTGCAACTGCGAGTGAATTTTCACGGTGATGGACCTGCTTGCTCTGAGCACCATTGCCGATTCAGCTGTGCACAGGAGGCATAAGGAACTTACAAGGAAACATTGTCAAACTGAGGGCCAAGGAGAGACTCATGCCAGCAGTATCCATTGTTCCCTGTTGATCCCTCCCCTCTACCAGTGCATGGGACACAGCACCACCATAGCTGTGAGGTCATCAAACTGGATAATAGAGGGCATTCTGCCCAGAGGATCCCTTGAAACCCCACCTACCCCAACTCGTGGTCTCACCCAAACCACATCCAGGTACATCTTCAGTGAGTCAGGTGCTCCTTGCTGAGAAGCACCTAGACTCACTCTGGAGGCAGCTGGCCTCAGTTTCTGATGTGGCCTTTTGAGGTAAATATAAGCACAGCATCTGTGGATTGCTTGCTGAATCTTAACAGGTGGCCCCAGAGGGGCCCAGGCTGGGGCTAAACTTGGCCTGCAGCTGAATCCCTCTCAGACTGTGCCACTGGACATCTACTTCACAAAGCTGCACTAATAAGTCTGGGAGACTTAGGAGCTTTGCTTAGTACATAGAAACAGACACAGAGAGGCAGCCAAAATGGGAAGACAAAGAAGCAGAAGCCATATAACAGAACAGAACAGAGATCAAGGAAAAATGGAGTCAAGTAATCTAACAGATGAAGAGTTCGAAACTACTGGTTATAAAGGTGTTCAA